TGTACAAATATTTCTTCGAGATCCTGCTTTCAATTCTTTTAGGTGTGTGCCCAGAAGTGGAACTGCTGATTCATATATAGTCATTCTATGTCTAATTTTTGAGGAACTGCCGTACTGTTTTCCGTAACAGCTGCTCCATTTCACATTCCCCTCAGCAGTGCACAAGGGTTCCAATTTCTCAACATCCTCACCAATAATTGTAAGGTTTCCTCTTTTTTTATTCCTTATAATGGCCATCCAAATGGAAAGGACGTTGTATTTCCCTAGTGACTAATGATGTTAAACATCCTTCCGTGTTCTAATTGGTCATCTGTGTATCTTTGGACAAATGTCTATTCAAGTCCTTTGCCCAGTTTTTTCATCACTGGGTCTTTTTGCTGTTATTGAGTTGTGGGTTCTTATTTGCTCTGGATATTAATTACTTATCAGATATATGATTTGTAAATATTTTCTCCCATTCTGTGGGTTGCCTTTTCACTCTTTGAAAGCACTCTTTGATATACAAAGGTTTTTAATTTTGAACAAGTCCAATTTATCTGTTTTTTCTTTGGTTGCCTTTGCTCTTGGGGTCATATCTGAGATCTCATTACCAAATTCAATCCTGTATCCTTTTGACAAATTCCTATCATTTTTTAAGTGCTTTTTTTTTTTCACTTAATGGCAAACAAAATGAATACTAGATATTTTGTGTCTTCCCTGCTGGCATCAGCCATTTCTCCAAAGAGATCAGGTTCTATTTTGTGGGCAATGAAATATAGAAACCAAAATCTAGGTGTTAGGTGTTCTCATTACTATCAGAATTTGATTGCTTTTAAGCCTTTTTAGCAGATGGAACTAGGAAATAAATAATAGATGGGTAGATAGGTAGGTAGAGAGGTGTCAGGAGGTGGCTTTGGATATATAAAGACATATATGATCCAATCCCACATGGTCCTTCCTTGACTTCATTCTTGGGTAATATCTGACCCTCAATTTCCTTATCTGAAAAATGGCAATAATAACAGTATCTACCTAATGATAATATCTATCTATCTGTAACAGTACCTAACTTAAAAAGGTAATCCATTAAAAAAAATACATTAACCCAACTTCATCTATGGATTCAATGCAATCCCAATCAAAATCCCAGCAAGTTGTTTTGCAAATAACAACAAACTGACTCCAAGAGAGAGAAGGACCCAGAATAGTCAACATGGTATTGAAAGAAAAGAATAAAGTTGAGGGGCTGACAGTACCCAACTTCAAGCCTCATTGTAAAGCTACAGTCATCAGGACAGAATGGTATTGGCAAAAGAATGAGCAGATAGATCAGGGAACAGACAGACAGCCCAGAAATAGACCCACATTAATATAATCAACTTAACTTTGGCAAAGAAACAAAGGCAATACAATGAAGAAATAAATGGTGCTGAGACAACTGGACATCTACATGCAAGAAAATTAATCCAGACACAGACTTTACATTCTTCACAAAAATTAACTCAAAATGGATCACAGGCTAAAGTGTAAAACACAAAACTATAAAACTCCTAGAAGATAACGTAGGAGAAAATCTAGACAACCTTGAATATGGTGATAATCTTTAAGATAGAAAAAAGCATGACCCATTTGAGCCGCTAAAACAAAATACCACTAACTGGGTAGCTTATAGACAACAAAAATTTATTCTTCACAATTCTGGTAGCTGGAAGTATAAGATTATGGTCCTGACATGGTTGGGAGAGAACTCTCTTCCAGATTGCTAACTTCTTGTATCCTCACATGGCAGAAGGGGCTAGGGAATCTCTCTGGAGCCTCTTTAATAAGGCACTAATCCCATTCATGAGGACACCATCCTCATTACTTGAGCACCTCCCAGTTTACTAACTTACTGTGTGCCAGGCAACTTTACACATATTTACTCATATCATCCCCAGAGCACCCTCTAAGATAGCTTCTGAAAGACAGTAGAGTCACTCTGCAGTTAGACTGCATGGTTGGTTTACTGGCCTTGCCACTTACAAGCTGTGTGGCCCTAGGCAAGTTATTTAGCCTCTCTGTGCTTCAGTTTTCTCATTTGTTAAAAAAAAAGGTTTTTGTACCAATCTCATGGGGATATTGTTTGAATTAGACATGCATTAGACAGGAACTGGCACATAGAAAGCATTTTGTGTTTGCTGATACTATTTTAGAGATATGGATACTGAAGCACAGAGAGGTCAGATTATTGTCCAGAGTCACACATCTGGAAGTGGCAGAACTGGGATTTAAACTCGTCGATGACAGACAAGTGCATAGGCAATGACAAAAGTACTAAGTGTGGTGATAAGAGATAGCTTGGAATCAATGGCAGCCCTCAGGAGGACCTTAGGCAAGTCTGGGGCAGGTCTAGAAGGGTTCCAGGAGGAGATGTTACCTGAGCTGTGGCTTAAAGGATGAGCAGAAGTTTGCCAGGTGACCAGCTGAAGGAGGTAGGAGAGGAGCCTGAATAAAAGCTCAGGGATGAGATAGGCTGGGGGCAACTGCATATTGCTTAAGCTGAACTGATCCTGGAGAGGGACTTGGTGTGCGATAGCCGCTGAAGCTTATCACAGACCTCAGGGCCAGAGGAAACCTTCACACCCTCAAAATTTCTCTCTCTATTTTAGTAGCAGAACTGTTTTCAAACAAAACCATAATGAACCCCAGGACAGAATAGATGAAAGCAAGAGGAGCTTCAGGCAAAGTGGGGATGTTTCCCCAGAGACTCACTCCACACCCACTTTCCTGACATGCCCCCTTTCGCATCTTTGGCAGGCACATCCCTCAATTTCACGCAAGAAGGAACTGAGCGCCAGAGGCAAGAGACTGGCTCCGGCTCTCCTACGTGACTAGAGCCAGATTTTGGGACTCCCAGCACAGGGCTTTTAACCTCAGGATCATTTGAAGCTTTTCTGTCAGATAGGAGCTTTGAACTGGGCTGAGAAGAAGGGGGGAAGGGGTAGGCAGTTCAGCTAGGGTAACTACAAAGCCTCTCCTTTCTGGGACTCAGTGTTCTCATCCCTACAAAGGGGATAGCCGGGGAAGATGACTTTGGGGAGACTGTCCATCCCTGGATCCTGAGCCATCAGCTGGGCCTCACACCCTCTCAGGGACCCCCATCCCCAAGCTCCAGATCTTAAACTCTGTCCTCCCAAATCCTACCCTCAGTCTTTGGGTGGTATGTGTGGGAAGGACGGGGGTGCCAAAAGCTGCTAGTGAGTAAAGCCCAAGGGCCGAGTGCTGAGCAGCAGGACAAAAAGCATGGCTGGCCAGAAGCTGAAGTGATCCCATCTGGCAGCTCACAGTATTTTTAGGCCTCTGTGCTCCTGCCCCTGGGCTGGAAGCAGATTAGAGAAAAACAAAAATGGAATGACCTTTTCTTGGCCTGACAACTCCACCAAAGGGAAAGGAAGACTTTGAGAAAAAGCTAAACAGCCTTTGATTTATTTTTGTTCCCTCTCTTCTCAGTGGGTAGGAGCAGACCAGGACCCAAGGGGGTTTGCGGGCATCAGGAGGGCCCGTCACTCCTGCTGATGTCTCATTTGGGACCAGGCAGTTCCTCCCATCTGCCCTCACAAACTCGTGCATCAGCTTACGATCTTGGATGCCCCCCACCACCCACCAGTTTCACTTATAAAAGCTTCTGTAACCTGGCCATACTCCCCAAACTTACCCGAACTGGGTACCATTGACTTACTTAACAAACATGTACATTCCAGGCTGTACTCATTTTCCAGCACTTTCCAATATCAACTCATTTAATCCCCAAACAGCTCCACGTCTAATAGATGAGCAAACTGAGGGCACAAAGACGTGGATTAACTTGCCTGCAGCCGTGAGAAGCAGAGCTGGGACTCAAACCTGGGCAGTGTGGCTCCAGGACAAACTCCTAACCTCCATGCTAAGCCCCTTCTCCAAAGTCTTTGGTCTGCAGGACACCAGGCACCTCCCCTCTGAAGGATCCCCAAGGGCCCCCAACCTCCAATAACCACTAAGGTCATGCACTTACAGTAGGCTCCTGTTAACCCAGAGTGACTATTAATGAAGGAGTTGCTTGTCCACCAACTCCTCAGTGACCTCTAACCTGCTGCCCCGGGGTTGCCCTGCCCATAGTTCCGGGACCTTCTCACAGTGCTCCTCCCCAGTTCCTCCAACTAACCCTTCCAAGCTGAAGTTCTCACACAATTTTGCTGAAAGCCTGAGGGAGCGAAAGGAAAACTGAAATCTAGCCAGCACGTGTCTCTGCACTGGCCCTTGCCTTTACCCTGGGGGGGCACTTTGTGGCTTCTTCTCTCCTTAGCCTTTTGCTTTGTGTTTTAGGCTGAGACACTGCTGCTAGAATCCTTTATTCTCTTCCCAGAGTGTAACAGTCCTTACCTTCTGGGCCATGCCCCGGCCAGATCAAGCAGACCCAAGGAACAGCCTGGCTATCTCTTCAAAGGTCTCTTCTGCTCCCGCAGAACACAGCACTTACCATTGGGTTCCTCTGGGGCCAAGGTTTCTTCCTTCCAGAAGAGAGCTTTCACCTTATGTTAGATAAATGCTTTCCCGAATCAAAGAGCAATCCTTGCCCAAAGGATAGCTCTAGGGCCACTGAAGAAATGGGCTCCTGTTGAGGACAGCTTTTGAATTGGCATCCCTTCCTTTTCCTGCCCCAAACACAGGTTACAGCTGTAATGACTGGACAATATACTCATGGGGGATAATCACAAAAGTTTATCTTGGCTTCCAGTATATCTTTAAAATGCATTCAGTGGAGGAAACTCTACCCCATCCCTGGGTGAGAATTTGGACACACCCATGGCTTTGCGGATAATTCCCAAGTGTGATAGTTCATTTTATGCCAATTTGGGTGGGCCATGGGGTGCCAAGATATTTGGCCAAACATTATTCAAGGTGTTTCTGTGGAAGTGTTTTTAGATGACATAAACATTTAAATTGGTGGACTTTTGAGTAAAGCAGATTGCTTTCCATAATGTGGGTGGGTCTCACCCAATCAGCTGAAGGCCTGAAGAGAACAACAACAACAAAAGACCAACCTTCCTCCAGCAAGAGACAATCTTCCAGCAGATGGCCTTCAAGCTTCATCTGCAACATCAGCTCTTCCTGGTTCTCCAGTGATGGCCTTCGGACTGACTGCAGCTGGAACAGCCACCGCCCCTGGGGTCTCCGGCCCACCAGCCCAGCTTGCAGATACGTATCTCCTATTGGTTCTGTTTCTCTGGAACCCCCTGACCAGGTTAGTAAAACAAAAACTGTGTTTATTTTGGTTTCTTAAATACAGTCTCAGTTCAGAAGTTAGAATATCCAGTCTGGGGAGCTGCCAAAGCTCCCAATTTTTTGGAATGTTCCAGAGGCCACTCGCCCTCCTAGAGGGTGGGCAGATCCTTTTTCCTTTGTCCCCACCTTAAAGCTTCCTCCTCCATGTTGCTCAGGTGGGGTTTCTAACCCCTGGCCTGGTTGGGGGCAGGGGGTTGGGGAGGGAGGAGATATCAGGGATCAGGAAAGTCCTTATTGAATTGATACCGCTGCAGGTGCACAGCTGGTCCCTCCCGGGCAGTGCTTTCATAGATTCTGGAACCCCAAGAACCTTCCATTTTACATTTTTTACGTGGGCAACATATTTATCACCCGCTGGAAACTCCTCAGCTCCTATTTTTGTTCTTCTCTCCCCACACCCTGGGCCCAAACCACACAGAATCTCTGTTGGCATCACATCACATCCCCAGGTGTCCTCAGGGGTGGGATCAGCTCTCCTGAGGGCCCTGATGTATGGGGAATCCTCACACGTTCCTTTATTCCTCTGACAAGCTCAGGAAGAGAGGCTTCCTGCTCAGCCACTCTATGAGATTCCTTTCTCCAATCCTTTCGATTGCTGAGATGGGAGTCAGAGACCAGGCCTGGTGTCCCCCATCCTGTGAGGAGGCCATATCTAGCTTCCAAAGGGCCCTGTTTTGTGATCCATCACCTGACCTCAGATAAGGCACCTTCAACTCTCTCCCTGGGTGAGGTGGGGCTGAGGGTGGGTAGAGTCCAGGTCCCATTCTCTCCAGAAAAGTTCTCAATAAATTTCTTTAATCTCCAGTAACTAGATCATTAGATCCTTAAAGCAAATAATACCTTTTAGGGTCATATAATGGGTTTTTGTTTATTTCCTTTGAACATTTGTATCTTGGTCTAGAATGTCCTGTCTATTTTATCTTTGTGGCTCATGAGGAAGTTGCAATTTAGTATCCTGTTACTGTGTGTGTGTGTGTGTGTGTGTGTGTGTGTGGCACAATTACCTGTGCAAAGAAATGGAGAACAGTTTTATCACTGAAATTTTGTGGGAAGAGAGCACCAAGTATGGACAGGGAGCAGACTGGAGGGCTGGCTTGGGGATAGAAGCTCTGGACTCTTATTCTGGTGCCCTCCCCTTTCATACTTCACAATTTTAGAACTTTCCTGCCTCTCCCCACCAGCCCTCCATTCCCAGGTCAAGGCCAGAGGAGGTAAAAGAAGCTGCTTCAGAGAATAAAGAAAGAATTTGAAGGGCAATGGTAGGGGGAACAGAAAAAAGGAGTAAAGTAAGTGCAAAGCAGAAAATGGTGACAGATGACCTGCCACCTTAAAACTTTCTTTACTACCAAAACCTGACAAAATTCTTCTAAAACTCACAAGCAGGGACCAGCCCCTCACTGGTGAGCAAATGCTGAGCCACTCCATCTCATCCCTCCTGTGACTTCTACAAAGGCAGCAATAGCTGGGTCTGCCTTGACCACCACCACATCCCCAGAGTGGGTGACTGATAAAGGTCAGATGATTGACTAGAGGATCAGGGCCCTATAAGGCTCTTGGTGGGCTAGAATTGCCAATCCAAGTGCCCAAGACTCCTATATAACAATGTTTCCTCCTCTTCTCTGTCCTACTATTAATCACGCAAATCACATCTTCAAGTTGTTGAAGTTACAAGCCCAATCAACAGTCTTACAATTGTTGCTTTATGCAATTGTCTTTTAAATTAGACAGAAGAAAAAAAGTTACAAACAAAAAACATATTTATGCTGTCTATATTTACCTAAGTAATTACTTTACTGGTATTCTTTATTTCTTCATGTAGGTTTGAGTTACTCTCTAGTGTCCTTTCATGTTAGCCTGAAGGATGGCTTAATGTAAGCATAAGTGGTACTTTTCTATTATCCCCTCCTCCCAGCATCTAGTAACCTCTAACCTACTTTCTGTCTCTATGGATTTGTCTATTCTATGTATCTCATATAAGTAGAACCATCCAATATTTGTCCTTGTGTATCTGGCTCATTTCCCTTAGCATAATAATTTCAAGATTCAGATCTTTAATAGAGTGTATCAGAATTCCATTCCTTTTTCTGGCTGTTGAATAATATTCCATTGTATGTCTATATCACATTTAGTTTATACATTCATCTTTTGATGGACATTTGGATTATTTCCTCCTTTTGGCCATTATGAATAATGCTGCAATGAACATTGGTATACAAGTATCTGCTTGATATACTTCCATATTGAAGGTTAGTTTTGCTACATACAGAATTCTTGGTTGACAGTCTTTTTCTTTCAGCACTTTGAGCAGATTGTCCCACTACCTTCTGGCTTCCATGGTTTCTGATGAGAAATCACCTGTTAAGTTTATTGAAGATCTGTTGTATATGACGAGTTGCTCTTCTCTCTTGCTGCGTTCAAGATTCTCTTTGTCTTTCAACAGTTTGATTACGATGTGTCTAGGTGTGGATCTCTTTGAGTTTGTCCTACTTTCAGTTTACCTCTTTGAGTTTGTTGAGCTCCTTTATTATGTATATTACAGTTTTTCATCAGATTTGGGGAATTTTCTGCCAGTATGTCTTCAAATATTCTCTCTTTCCTCTCCTCTCCTCTGGGACTCCTATTAGAAGTATTTTGGTGTAGTTAATGGTGTCTGGTGTACTTAATGATGTCCTTGATGATCTCTGAGGCTCTGCTCATTTTTCTTCAGTCTTTTTTCTTTCTGTTCCTCAGGTTAATCACAACTGACCTATCTTCACATTAACTGATTCTTTTTACTGCCAGCTCAAACCTACTGGTGAACCCCTCTAGTGAATTTTCCATGTTATTGGACTTTTCAATTTCAGAATTTCTACTTGATTCTTTTTGTCTGTTTGTCTTTTAAATGTCTCATCTTTATTGATATTTATTTGCTGAGGCATTATTCTCATACTTTCCTTCACTCCTTTTGACATGGTTTCTTTCAGTTCTTTGAATATATTTAAAATAGCTGATTTAAAGTCTTTATCTTGGAAGTCCAAGTGTTGTTGGGCAGTTGCATCTGAGGAGGTCTCTTCCTGTGCACTAGGTAGACCTTAACCTGGATGGGGGAGGGTTCTTGACTCTGGTCAAGAAAAGATTCTCAAACAGGTTGGACAAGTAGAGGGAAGGAAGGAATTCATTAAAGTGAGAGTAGTAGTGAATGGCAGTAGTCATGCAGGCAGCAGAAAGCAAGGAAGAACAGAAGGAAGAAAGAGAAGCTCACTGTACTCCTGCTTAGCCCCTTGCCAACTCCTAAAGTAAGGGTCACCTGGTATCCAATGTCCACTTGAATCTACATGGTGTGGGAACTAAGCCCCTATCACCCCATATTTGGGGGAGCCACAGAGCTCCAGATTGGATAACTTCCCAAAGAAAAGAAAGGAGATTCTTGGGTAGGCTACCAAAGAGCATGATCATATAGCTACAGTCTTATCCAGGCTACTCAGGTGATGAGAACTTGCATGCCCAAAGCAGAGATCTTAGTAGCCCTTCCCTACTTGTCCTACTTGAATACAGCCCTACTTAAATACAGAGAGAATGAAGACTTTTGCTTAAGTCTAGAATATTAAATGAAATAGTGAAGTAACAAAGATGTTTAGCACTAGAAGAGCACAGACACAAAACACAGTAATTTGAGCAGTGAGAAATCTTTATTTAAGGCAAAGTACACACTTGAAAAAAGAGTAGTGCAGGCAACCTCAGAAAGGAGATGTGCTTAAAGGCTTAGGATTCTGTATTTTACAGATTTCAAAAATGGGGAAAAGGGCCAGTCGGGGTGTAGACTTGACATATGGTCTCATGATGTCTTTCTCTAGTGAAAGACATTGTGTCACCATCCATAGTCCTCTAGATATTCTGTAAGATAAACTTAACATAAGGGATTTCTTGATCCTGTTCTTCTCCAAGAAGTGGGGAAATATCATTTAGGACGGCTTGCTCTGCCTAAGGATAGGGTCGGTTATTGGCTTATTACCATGAAATGTTAGGAATCTTACCTCCTAACTCCATGGTTTTTAAAATGGGATCTTAGCCTTAAGATGGGGTCCCTCCTGTTCTTACTGCACTGTTTATATTTTGACCCTTTTCATCATAGGCAGGAAAAGTTAACTATAATGCTTGTCCCCTGTCCCTGCCCTACCTCACAAGGTCTGGCCTACCTCAAAGACAGTTTCTATTGGCTGCTTTTCCCCCTGCCTATGGGTCATACTCTCTTTTTTCTTTGTGTCCTGTAATTTTGTTGAAAATTCAACATTCTAAATATAAGTGTGGCAATTCCAGAAATCAGATTTCCTCTTTCCCTAGGGCTCACTGTTGCTCTTCATTTTTGTAGCTGCTGCAGTTTGTTTGATTAGTGACTTTCCTGAACGAATTGTTTTAATCTGTATTCTTTGTCACGTGTGGCCACTAAAGTCTCTCCTTGGTTGCTTAGTGGTCGGCTAATATTGGACAGAGATTTCTTTGAATCAATGGGTCTCCCAGCCTTGGGTGGGAAGCACTGTGTGTTTGGGGGCATACTTTTAATGTTTCATCAGACAGTTTACAACATTGCCTTAGCCTTCACTTTCTGCTTAAGCAGAGCCTCAAGGTCAGCCAGAAGTGAGAGGTTAGGGCCTTCTCAGTATATTCTGAGCAAGTTGGAGCTTTTCAAAGTCCTCTATGGACATCTTATTCCCCAGTTTTTTTTTTACAATTTTTAGGGCAACTTCTTCTTTGTCCCATCTGTTTTCACTGTGTCAGGCAGCTTTGATGTTAAACTATTGTTGATGATTGTTTTTGACAAATGCACCCAGAGAATGGCTGTTCACACTGACTAAGCTGAGTCAGGTCAAATAAAGACAAACTCAGGGTGGGAATTTCCAAGGAACTTCCAGATAAGTCAAATAATGACAACTCTGGGGACAGGGCTTTTCAGGGAGCTCCAAACTCCTCTTTCCCTCTAGT